GAATCTAGACTATCTACCAAGAGAGTCAGTCATTAATCATAATTGTCTTTTGGAGAGGGCTAATTTTTGAAAAGATTAAGACATCTCACCTCCCTCTTGATGGATGCTTTTTGACTCTCTCTAGTAATGACTAGTCTAAAAAAATAGGAGGAAAATCAAAACTTTGTCAACAATATTCTTATGCATAAGATCATCGTGGAGAAAAGATTACCTAGAACACATCAAGATCATAATAGATCAAGCATCACTCAACCTAATACTAGCACACAACGAGGTTTGTGTAAAATCTAAATTTGAGATGTCATTGTAATCTTCTCTATAGATAGATTAACTCTTAGTTCAAACTAGTTTTATCATTTATTCTATCATTTCATTACATTAGATTCATTCTCTCCCCTTTATCATACTTTTCATTTCTCTTGTCATCACCCTTTTAAATTTAATTTCACTCTTCATAATCTCAAATATATTTATATATATCATAAAATAAATAAAATTTTTACTTTCATTACCCACACTCCTTGAAGATCAACCCTTATTTATCTTAAACAGAAGAGTGAGGTTTTATAAATATTATTTGTATGAACCTAATTACATCACAACCACATATTTAACCTCTAAATTAAGTTTATCAACCACGAGCCTCGCCAACATCTTTTTTTAATGATAATACTCCATCAATGAGTCAATAACATCTTCAAGAACGAATATTTTATTAGACATCTCTATCTGACATGCGTAATCTAAATACCTTTTTTTAATGTCTATTTACTCATCATCGACTTTAGTACACATCGTTTCTCCAACTTCTTTCAAAATTTATTTGAATTATATTCATCCATGACCTATTAAAAAGCCCAATCAAATAGAGATGTATGAATAAATCCTCTAAACTTCTTCTTTATTATCTCTCATTTATCAACATTAATCTTGTCTAGTATTGGTCTATCCAAAAGTCTTATATAAGTCAGTTTGTAATAATGTATCATACACACAATATTTCTAAAGATTAAAGTTAGAAGACTTATCTAATTTTTGGTTATTAGTATCTACCTTAGAAGTTATAGTAAATCTAGAAATAATCAATCCAATACTCTAATACCACTTGTAAGAATAAATATGTAAGCATAAGGTCACAATAAAATAACAAAAACACAATTTCTAGATATTGATGAAAACAAATAGAAGAGAAATCAATAAATTATCAAGAATTCAGATGGAAACGACTTTTACCAAATACTTCTAATCCATGTCTCAATGCCTTCAAGATGACCCACACACTGGAGAGCCATCAATTGACTCTTATCTTCTTCTATAAAAACTTCACCTATAATAGAAGAGAGAGAAGAGACTAAAAAAGAATAATAGAGTTAATGAAAAGAGAGAATATAATCAAGAGAGAAAAGAGAAAACTTGTCGTGGTACTAAAAAAGAAAAATACATGTCCTATTTATAGAAAATAGAAAAAGATAACCGTCTCTTAAAAGGCGGCATCTCTATCTACCTATAGGCAAGCTCACACATCTCGAAGGTGACGGTTTCAAACTAAGAGAAATCACTTGGTGGTGTCAGCCCACACAGGAGAGGCTCCTCGCATGTCTCAACAATGCCATGGCCGGCCAAGAGACTAGGAAGGTGCCCTTGGGGTTCCTCAGTCACGGGGGAAGCACGTGAACTGCCTGCTCTCCATCAACAAGAAGGCGGATGCCCAGGCCTCACCAGCGTCTTCTGCTTCCTGCAGCAGGTGCTCCACGCGCAGCGGCTGTCGGAGCAGACCACGGCAAAGAGCCTCAAGGCCCTGACCTACATCCGCCACGAGATCAGGAGCCCCCTCTCCGGCATTGACTTCTCCAGGGAAATGCTCCAGCGGACCCCTCTCTCCGACGAGCAGAGGCAGATCCTCGCCACCGCGGCGAGCTGCCAGCTCCAGCTGGACAAAATCCTCGGCGACATCGACCTCGATAGCATCACGGACAGGTTCGGCCACCAAATTCCATCCTCCTCTGCCAAATTCATCCTCTGACCCCCGATCGAACGCCGCAGCTGCCTGGATCTGGAGATGGTGGAGTTCTCCCTGAGGGAGGTCCTGGCCGCTGCGGTGAGCCAGGTGATGATCGCAAGCAAGGCCAAGGGCGTGGAGATCGCCTACGACCTCACCGGGGAGTCCCTGTCGGAGATCCTCTACGGGGATCGGCTGAGGCTCCAGCAAATCATCGCGGACTTCCTACTGGTTTCAGTGAAGTTCTCCCGAAGCGGCGGCCAGCTCGAGGTCGCTGCGAGCTTGACCAAGGACCGGCTCGGGAAGAGCCTGCACGCCGTCCGAATAGAGCTCAGGTAGGGTCCGAATGGAGTCAGTAGTGGCCGGCGAGTCCGTCCATCGCGTCGCGATCTCGCCTGGAATGAATGAATGAATGAATGAATCTGAGAACGCCGCCGCTGTCTGGTTGCAGGATCACGCACCACGGCAATGGCGTCCCGGAGGAGCTCCTCGCGCAAATGTTCGGGGACGCGGATGAGGCCTCCGACGACGGCGTCAGCCTGCTCGTCTGCCGGAATCTCCTCAGGCACATGAACGGAGACGTCCGCTATTTGAGGGAGGCGGCGGGATCCTCCATCATCCTCTCTGCTGAGCTCGCGTCCGCGCAGAAGAACCAGAACCTCATTCACCCTCCCGAATAGAGAAGAGCCTCTCTCTCTCTCTCTCTCTCTCTCTCTCTCTCTCTCTCTCTCTCTCTCAAGCTAATTTGAACGGTGTGGTGAGAAGAGTTTACGGACTGTAAATACGAAAAAAGAATGCATTTATGGGCGTAATTTTATTCCCAGATATTTACTGCCGCTGTGGGATAAACAATAATTGTTATTAATAATAAGCGTAAAATAGCGCGACCTGAGTCGGCTGCGGCCTGTCTGGCACCGACACGTGCGGACGTTGGAGCCCAGGCGTCACGTGCGTACCTAACCATCCCGCCCTCTCATTATCGCACGTGCGATGAACGTGCTTGGGAGGAACAACGTGCGAACGAGCAACGGCTTCGCGTTGTGGAGCAAATAAGAGGAAGAGGCCGGGGAGGGGGGAGGGAAGAGCGTCGGGGCGGTCGAGCGGTGGCGGAGGGACGACTGGTCGAGATGGGGTAAGTACTCGTTTCTCAAACCTTCTTCGGTTCACTACGATGCCTGCGCACTGATTTCGCCTGCGTGTTGTTGCTGTCGATGCCGCGGGGCGGTCGAGGATTCCCTGGTTCGGAATTAGCGGTGCAGACGCACTCCTGTTCGCTTGCTTCAGGATTGCTGGACGGTTGGATGGATATTTTTCGCTGTCCTGTTCCTCACCGATTGTGATCGTTAGGCTGTAAACACTTTTCTATTTTCCTGTTTCATTCTTGTGCACCGTTTTTGACACTAGGATCCTGATATGTGAAATGGACGGTACACCTCGGGGAAAAGGTCAACTGACCGAAAGAAAACTTGAACGCCGGATTCACAAAGGAGACCTGATTAGAAGTAAAATTATGTGACGTAATGTGACCAATGGTTTTTTTATGCGTGGAATAGAGTCGAGATGACCTAGGCGGCGACAGAGAGCCTCTATAACTTCTTTCTACTGGTTTTTTATTCTCTGGTTAATACTCGAGGTCCATATTGTTGGAGAAGTCTTTTGAATGGATAGCACTCTTTTCATATGTTTCTTTCAATCTAAGGAACTACAGAGAAGAAATGTAGATCCATGTCATTGGTGGAATATGAGAGAGAAGTTGAAAGTTTTCATTTAATGGAGACTTTACTCACCTCAGGAACACCGTGGCCCTACAATTGACGAGTGGTCGTTGCTGAATGAAGATTTATTAAGTTCAAACCTCGACAATTTAGAAACACAATTTCAGCATAGACGTTTCAATTCTTTTCAGTTTCGAGGTTAGAGAGATCCAGGGATTATATAAGAAGATAGATTTTAGGGATAAAATTTCCGTCATCCCGATTGGACTAAGAGTTTGAAAAGTAATCCTTTTGTCTCACTGTCCTTATGGATCCTAATAGGTACAAAACTCGTTACTTTATGGATCTCGTGACCATTTAATAAATTAGTTTTTCCAATATTTGCACTAAGCATAAACTTTCTTCGCGAGCATGATTTTATGGCCCTTTTTAGAAGCTAAGCTCGGAATCCCAAGTGTTTGCTTTCATATATATCATTTTTCTTCCTTCCCATTTTTAATTTCGCTGTTTTACGTTACATCATCTGTGGAAAACATGCTTCGAGTATTCGTCTCCTTAGTCATCAGTGCTACCCTCAACTGTCAGGAAAGGACCAATTGAAAAAAAACATTGTATAATTCAGGTGCTGGAATTGTGAATGAACTCGGTTAGGTATTGGATTAGTCCTGTATCGCCTAGCTTTACATGAGTATGGAGTAGACATTGTTCTGAGAAACGTGCTTCCTGGTTTATAATCGTGTATGCATTTCAAGGCTTATTTTTTTACTTTTGAAAAAAAAGAGGCCAAACACGATATAATTTTAATTAAGAATTGTCAGTGTGTTCTTTAGTTTTACCTGCGTTTTTTTAGCTTTTGTGATCTTCACTTTCCCGGAGATGTCTAAGTGAAGGTTTTTAAACTGGGACAAATTGTTTGTTTTTCTGGTTCACTGTAAAAAAATTTGTCAGCTGAAGTTAATTAAATGTGCGAAGCTATCTTCACTTGCATGCATAAGATGAAGCTATCTTCTGATTGTGTTTTACGGTATCTTCGTCGATTTTGTTTGGCATATTATTAGTTACTGATTGTACTAAATCTCCATTTCAGTTTTTATTCAACTTTGATTTCTATTGGTGGTTCTGAGTCGAGGTCTGCAATCGGATGGAGTTGAATGCATCTAGAAATTTTGTTTCTCATCAAACATCCTCTCGCCAGTAGAGTTGTCTGTCCTCTCAGGCAGAAAATCATTTTTTTCTGGCTGTTTGTTTGTTTCCTTTAGAGGGAATCATAGAGAGTCTAATAGAATATGAACCCAACAGGGTCCGCTCACCTGTTAGTGTGTTAGTGAGGCATTTAGAATTTGACCCAATAATAGAACTTGTGGCAAACACTGCCCTCCTCTCTCTATAGTTATAAATAGGTGAGCATAAAGGGATACGAATTTGGCATGATTTCCACCTACTTTGACGATAACCTTAGCATTTGAATTGAAATCGTTTTCAGGCTTGGAAGTCCAACGACATTTCAGGAAGTTGAGTTGGGAAGATCTTGAGGCTGACATTTTCCTCAATGTGATGAGGGTCTGATTTTGAAAAGATAGTGCTTTTGCCTTGAGCCATCCGGGAATCTAAAAACTTCAATACTCATGACTTCAGTACCATTTTTTTCGAAAATTTGCATCAAATTCAAGCTTACTCGATGTGTGCGATCCTCTGGTCGTCTTAAAATCTAAGCTCCTCGCCACAAGTGATTCCTATCTGCGTATTGTGTTTACTCCCACCTATTCTAAGTTTAAACAGCATGCTTACATTCTCTTCCATGACCCCGTAGCCATCCATCACTGATTCAACTGCCAGAACTGGCTACGAGCCCAGCTGTTTATCAAACTGACTATGTGTTTCCCAGGGTTGAGCTCATGGTAATTTTGGGCCATAAACTGCCATGTTTTCATACATTTTTATTGAATCATCATCGCGGACACATATCACGAATTTATTTTTTAAAACATTTAAAAAATATGAATACCCGACCCACAAGAAAGCGTTCTTATTATGTGACACCACCAAATTTCGTTTCGTTTTGTTTCGTTTCGTTTCGTTTCTGTCATTCTTCGCTTACTTAGCGCTTGTGATCTTCACTTTCCTGACGACCTTAGGTCGGACAGTAATTATATCCCAACTTGTCTGCTTCTCTGTAAACGTCTTCACTAAGTTGTGTAATGTCGTATCACTTGTTGCTGCGAGTGGAGGTCTCTAACAATCAGATGATTCTGACTGTTGCATTTCTCAGCAGCTGAGCAAATAACAGAAAAAACTACCTTAGTATTCCTTGCGTATCTCCCCTCTGAATTGGAGTTTGTCTTCCCTCCTTCCCTCCCCTGCAGAGAACTCGTCTGCGAAGGTCTGATCCCCGGGCTGCCGGACGAGCTCGCCCTGATGTGCTTAGCCACCCTATCCCACGGGCACCATGGGGTCCTCGAATGCGTCTCGAGGAGGTGGAGGGACGCGCTGAGGAGCGAGGAGTACTCGCGGCTCAAGGCCAGGGAGGGCCTCTGCGGCGACTGGCTGTTCGTTCTGACGGACGAGAAGCCCGGCATGCGCTGGAGCGCCTACGACCCCGGCGCGGACCGGTGGCACGCGCTGCCGCCGGCGCCGGGAACCGACCCCCGGAGCACCCACTGCGGGTTCGCCTGCGTCGCCCTGCGAGAGCGGTTTCTGGTGCTGGGCGGGTACCCCGTGAGGCCCCCGCTGGAGGAGCACGGCGGCGGCGGCGGCTGCTCCTCCTACCGGCGCCCGGCGGCGACGCGCGAGGTGATGAGCTTCGACCCGTACAGGAATCGGTGGAGCGAGGTCGCGGGGATGAGGACCCCGCGGTGCGACTTCGCCTGCTCCGCCGTGCGCGGGCGGGTCCTCGTCGCCGGCGGGTGCGACTCGCCGGGCTCCCAGGGGCTCGCCTCCGCCGAGTCCTACGATGTCCTCGAGGACAGGTGGGAGGACCTGCCGCCAATGCCGACCCCGCTACGGAGCTGCTTCAGCGTCTCCCACGACGGCAGGTTCCACGTCGTCGGGCGGAGCGCCAGCGAGCCGCGACATTTCATCTTTGACCCCGCATGGGGCAGTTGGGCGCCGGCGCCGGCGGCCTGGCAGCTCCACAGGCTGCCCCGCAACCCCGCGGCGGCGCTGGACGGCCGCCTGTACGCCATCCTCGAGCGGGGCCTCGCCGCGCTCGAGGGCTCGGGCGGCGCCTGGTCGGTCCTCGATGGCCCACCGCTGTTCGACCTGCCGGACCACCGCCGCAAGCTCCAGCCCTCCGGCTGCGGGTTCGCCGGGCTCCGGGGGAAGCTCTATCTCGTCGGCGGCAAGGCCATCCGCTACGACATGGATGCCCGCGTCTTCGACATCGTCAAGTTCGCCTGCACCCGCTACTGCGACCCCGCCGCCGCCCCCCTCCAGTGGCGGGACGTCCGGCCGCTCTTCCGCTCTCGCGGCGCCGTCCTCGGATGCGCCGCCCTCCAGCAGTGAACCCCTGACCTCGCCACCGTTGCCGATCATATATGTTCTATGTAATAAGATGATGATGATCGATCCCTCTCTCTCCCTCCACGCAGAACGATTTGGAGTTGACCGATGAGTTGACTAGGTTATGGCTCAACGAGATTGCGTCCCTCGACGATTCGTCGTGCTCTTCTGGAACTGGCTTCTTCCGTGGGATTGGGCCAATTTTGACGCCGAAATGAAACTGGGCCAGCCCGTTAGCGAGACGGTGGGCCCAGCCCGCGATTTGAAAAAGTGGCGCCTTCTTCTCTCCTGGGGGCCAGAAAGAAAGAAGCCAGTCGTCGTCGTCTTCGTCTTCGTCTTCGTCTTTGTCCCGTCCGTCAGTAGTTCGGAGATATCGGCCGCGTCCGAGCAGTCTGGTGAGCCCCGGCTGGGCTTCACCTCCCCCCTTGCCGAGGAGGATCTCTACGGGCACCTCAAGGTGCTGCGGCACCAGCTGGAGTTCGTCGAGATGTGGGAGGAGTGCATCAAGAACGAGCAGAAGAACCTGAAGCAGTGAGCTGCGGTGAACGATTTGGAGTTGACCGATCCCTCTCTCTCCCTCCACGTAGAACGATTTGGAGTTGACCGATGAGTTGACTGGGTTATGGGTCAACGAGATTGCGTCCCTCGACGATTCGTCGTGTTCTTCTGGAACTGGCTTCCATGAGATTCTGCCAATTTCGACGCCGAAAGGAAACTGGGCCAGCCCGTTAGCGAGACGGTGGGCCCAGCCGCGCTTTGAAAAGGTAGCGCCTTCTCCTGGGGGCCAGAAAGAAAGAAGCCAGTTGTTGTCGTCGTCTTCGTCTCCGTCCCGTCGGTCAGTAGTTCGGAGATGTCTGCCGCGTCCAAGCAGTCTGGTGAGCCCCGGCTGGGCTCACCCCTTGCCGAGGAGGAGGAGGAGGATCTCTACGTGCGCCTCAAGGCGCTGCGGCGCCAGCTGGAGTTAGTCGGGATCCGGGAGGAGTGTATCAAGAACAAGCATAAGAACCTGAAGCGGGAGCTGCGGTGGGAGGTGAAGCGCCTCCAGAGCGTCCCGCTCGTTGTTGGCCATCTCCTGGAGATGATCGACCAAAACAGCGCCATCGTGCGGTCATCCAGGGCGATCGAACCGTTACGTGCGGATCCTGAGCACCGTCAACAGGGAACTCCATCTTTTTGTTAAGCCAGTCGGAGAAGCCCGACGTCACCTATAACGTAAGCCTGCAAAGGTTTTGCCACCCGCCACTACCTCCCGTCCCCATTGTCTTTGCATCGCCATTTCGTTTTAGTGTTTGGTGATCGTTCATCGTCCTGTATGCTGGCTGTTTCTTGGGAGATAGATTCCTGAGATAAATGTTTGTAGTCGATCCGGATTTGGACGTCTCTTTATTTCTATTGCTGTGTCGATTAGTGATGATCACGGGTTTTTTTTTCCCTTCTTTTTTTCGATTCTTCGCCGAAAGCTTAATTTAATATGATTTTCTTACGTCAGGTAGTGAGTATTTATTGTTGTGAAATCTATTCTTCTACTTCTCTTCACCGTCTGCGTCTCCTAGGACCGAGACAGAACCGGTTCGGAGGGAAGTAAGCATTATCTTGACGTTCGCAGAACCAGTGGAACGCATGAATTGTTGCATTGGTGGAATGTGAAGAAAAATTGACGGCAGTCTTTTCTGAGTATTCTCTTATCTATCTTTATTTGCATCAAATGGCGGCCTGCCTCGTTCATTTCTGTCTTTCTTTATTTTCTTCGGCAAAATTTTCGTTCTATGCAGGACATCAGTGGCTGTGACATTCAGAAGCAGGAGATTCGTGAATTTGTGGAGTTGCCTTTGATTCATCACGAGCTTTATAGACAGATTGGCATAGACCCACCGCGGGGAGTGCTTCTTTATGGCCCTCCTGGCACGGGTAAAACCATGTTCGCAAAGGCCCTGGCACATCACACTACGGCTGCATTCATACGGGTGGTTGGATCAGAGGTACTTGGGTCTCCTTTTGAAAAATTCCATACGGGTGGTTGGATCAGAGGTACTGAGGTGTGAGCTTCGCAGATCAGGTCTCCTTTTGAAAAATTCATCCAATTTTCTCGCCCCCTTGGCTCCGTGGAATCAATCCCATTCATTCTGTTTGGGTGTTGGCTCCGTGATTCTTGTGCATCGTGAGAGAGTTAACTAATGTTCTTCTCCCTCGACTTGGAATGCCACAAGTTGACGTTTCTTCCAGATCTTCCTTACAACTCCGCATCATTGCAAACTGGCAAAATATTTTCTGCGCAACTTCATAGAAAAGTTATTTTCTCAAACCCATTGGATTGCATCACACTTGCCGCATCAAAATTATTTTATTACGTGGGCCCTTCGTCATGTTTGTGGCTTTGTGCTTGCTTATCTGGGCTCCCACCTCTTTTGACACGGAGCAAGGATGGCTCGGATGTTTTTTTGCCCCGCTAAAGGGAACACTCCCTCTATAGTTTTTATGGACGAAGTTGACGCAATCGCTGCAGACCGCGAAGTTCAGCGAATTCTCTTGGAGTTGTTGAATCCGGTAAAGATCAAAGGGGATAACAACTCAAAATGAGGATGGTTATCTTCTCTGCCCTTTCTTAGTTTCAAATCTTGCATTGTACACGGTGAGCATCATATATCATAGCAAGGGAATGGGCTTGCTTTGGTCGTCCCGCTGAAAACGTTGGCAACGCCTGTTAAATAAATAATGTGCCAGAGAAGGGAATAGGACTCGCTGTTGTTTTCGTTTGATATGCTACTTCTGACGACTCTTGACCCATTTAACGGATGGGTTTCGAAAGCCTGTACCTCTGCTTGGCTCGTCATCAGAGTAATATATGCTCTGCGACTTGTTCTTATTTTTTTAAGAATTTTGACATCATGTCGACCTCTTAGTGTGGACCACATGGGAAGGGGGCCGTTAGAATCTTAAATTCTGAATGAGCCGTCCTCTCGTTTGTCGAAGCTCAGATCGTGCTTGATGATGAAGGTCAACGAAGTCAGGGGGGCAGCTATGTGAAAGTTAGTCGCGGTATCGGATGCCCGACAGCCCGGTCTGCCGTTCGCGACATGAGATCTCGATGGAGTTGGCCGGGCCGTCGTCGGCGTTCCGTCGAGCTTCTCTGAACTTTCCCTTTCGACTCTCTCAGCGGCGCGACGATGCTTTGAACCACGTCCTATCGTCCCGGAACATACTGCCGAGTCGCCGTGAAGTGTTATGTTCTTACTGCAGTAGAGAGATGGAGAGAGGCAGCGAGCTATGATAGGCTCAAGAAAGGAAACCTTTGGCCAATGAACCGTTGGGTGGAGACCATCTTCGCTATCTTCGATCCGGCTGAGGGACTTTTCAAAATCCTCGTCCCTCTCACTGTCTTTTACGCCGACGTCGACGTCTGACGTATACGGGGTGAGAGGGACGAGGATTTTGAAAAGTTCAGAGAAGCTCGTCAGTTACAACTCATTCCAGCTCGCGCAGGCCGAATGGACTAAACCAATACAACAAACTCTGACGCGCATCAGGACTGACCAAGTTGACCGTCTTTGACCCGTCGCTATTCGAGGATGCCTCAACAAAAGCCATGAAAAAATCCACTACATTTCTTGGGCTCGGGTCCAACTCTGACTAGAGTGGCCGACTCAACGATCTCGGAGCACGTGCAGTTGACTAAGAAAGGCCAGAGAGAGAACGCTGTGAAATGGGCGATAAATCTCAGCAAGCAGATACAAAAGAAACAAGGATGGAAAAATCACCGTTGTCTTGATCGTCACTCATTAATGTTGGATCAAGACTGAAAGAACCAACCGATGAGATTAACGGTGATGCAAAAGCTGGGGACAGACCCTGAACCCTGGCACCAGCACACCACGCACCACAGCCAGGCGTGGCATGGCGCATGTGCGGGTTCAAAGTCCACCTGTACTGTTATGTTTTATTTTGAGGACAGATTTTTTTTGTATCTGAAACTAGTCCTGTCCCGTTGTATGGAACACAATTGAAAAAGGGGGCCAAGTTAGAGAGAAAAGTTAGGATGAAAACCCTCTTTCTCCAGCGATAAAATATGGGGATCTGGTGTCACCTCCTTTATGCCCTTAGTGTGAGTTGTATTCACCTCTATTTTTTTTACCTTATTTCTTCAGTGATAATAACTATGTTCCACGCATTTTAGTGGACGTGAGACAGTGCATTAGCCTCTATGTTCCATAAAATTATATTCATGTGCCATTCTTCTCTCTTCTTCTTGAATATCTACTGTTTTCTAGATTGTTATTGTCATGCCTCTTCTTCCATTGTTATATTCAGGCCATCAAATTCATGCTATCTCCCAATAAATTGATATCAGAGTATTTCTAGGTGTCTAACTATTGTATTTTGAAGAGCACAGGATGTATCCAAAGTTTAATATTGTAACCTTTGACTCAAAGATCAATTTCACAACATAACCAATCAAGATGAAAGTTATCTTCACTCATCAATTTCACTCAAAGATCATTCTATTAGGCATTTTACTCTATAGGTTGTTCTACATTTTCAGCTATATAGTCTAACTTATCCTTAACACTCATATCATTTATGTGATATATCTCTCCATAATCATTAATATATTGTAAAGTGTACTCCATTTGAGTAGATTTAATTCCAAATCTAGGGTGGAACATTGAATTGAGTTCATTATGATCATTGTATAATAAATCATGGAAACTTAAAATTTTTAAAACTAGAAAATACTAATTTTTAGATTTTAGAAAAATAAATTAATTATAATTTGATAAAATATTTCAAAAATAGTAAAGAATTTTCAAAAATTGTGAAGATATAAGATAATATTGGGTTTTAAAAAAATTCTAAAAGAATATGATTATAATTTAGATTTAATAATATTTTATAAATATATTTTAAAGTTTACAAAAAAGAGAAATAAAGGTGTTGACATCAAGATGACATCAGTGTTTCCAACAAACAAATCAGATGAAAATATAGTTACACTCAGTGACTCTTACGTAAATGATTACAAACGACTTAGTTGATCAAATTAAGTTTTATAAAAGTTACAAGAATCATAATTTCACGAAGAAGAGTTTGTAACTTAAAATCATATAAAATATCACTAAATTAAGTAAAAATAAGTTTAAAGTAGGAAAGATAGAGTTTCAATTTTACAATATCGATCGTTGAAATTCTATGTTCTGAAGGATTATTATGTAAAGTCCACAACTTCAAAGGCTCTTCTTAGACAAAGACAACATGGATAACCTCTAGATTTTTTTGTGAAGTTTAGAAATCAATGAAGTTGATCCTTGAATCATTTTTTATGGTTGTCATTAGACAAAAAATATATATATAATTTTGTAGCTCTCTAGTAATTATCGTCAAACATAGATGAGTTGAATGAAGGTAAGTCATATCTTAGAAAGCTTCATCCTCATGTTTGCATAACAAGATGAGACTCTTCATCACATCTAATATAATCTCAAGACGTGGTAACTCATCTTTTAATAGATCGTCCTCTTCATATTGATGACTTATTTGTCAATTAATTAGAGATGATTTACTCAATAAACTCATAATTATTTTATCTAGAATCATTCAATAATTTTAATAATGATGTTTTGTGAATCGTAGTGATGAAATTTTCTTTGATGATTGAGTGATTATAATGACTTAATCATTCACTGACAATTTATAAGAACATAATGACTTAATCAAATCAAAATATGAATTTTGTCTCTAGTAAGATTTGAACCTTTGTAAGTTGCCTACTTGTATGAGATAGAATAAAATAAGTACATAAACATCTTTATAATGTGGCATCATAAGAGTATCTCATTCTCATAAATCAGAAGAATTTTAGGTACTAAAAGTATTAAAAACTTTTAGGAACATGTGACCCTAATTTATTCTCATATTAATTATTTTCTAAATTTTAAGGCATATATATAATAACATAAGACTTTGTTATAAATGAGTCCCTTTTTTACATGTGTACAATCACTCCTTATCTTATGCCTATGTTGACAAGATGAAGAGATAACCTTGTAATTGATATCTTGAAGAAGAGGAGTATATGAGGTTATCTAAAAGAAAGGAAGAAAGATGGAGAAAAGAAAAAGTAAAGATAGTGGAGGAAGAATAAAGATATGGAAATAATAATTTTAAAATGAGCCTAGTGAGTTTAGTGAGCCTATTCTAATACTCTTTATCAAGTTAGAGCATACAAGTCAAATATACCTAATTTGGTGCATGTTGTATTGTAGGAGATCTCTGTAAGATTCTTGGTGAAGACGTCCACGAGTTGATGAGATGAGACAACCTCTAGAGTAGAGATAACATCTAACATTACTTAATCTCGGATGTAATGACAATCAATCTTGATATGTGTCATCTGCTCATGAAATGTAGGATTTCTAGTAATGAAGATGACGACCTAATTATCACAATATATAGACATTGGCACAAGAGACAAGATGTCAAAGTTTTTGAGAGTGAACCAAGCCACATCATCTCTCACGTCATCTCAGTTATGATATGATACTCAGACTCAACACTAGAATAAGATACCACCTTTTATTTCTTAGAACACCACATAACAAAGTTACCACCCACATATGTGTAATAACCAGTGGTGGATTTACGATCTCCTTTGTTACCAACATATCTTGCATCTTAGTATACTTCAATCCGAAGATGTCTATGTCTTTGATAGATAAGTCCTCTCCTATGAGCTCTTTTGATGTACGATAGAACTCGTAAAGTTCCTTTCCAATGAACTTATCGAGGTTCTTATATGAATTGACTAAGAACACTAACTATGTACACGATGTTGAGGTAAGTGACAGTGAGGTAAATCATATTCTCCAACAATCATCTATATTAATTAACATCCTCTAAAAATAGAGACGACGTATCCTAGAAGTATAGACGTGCCTCCATATGTGACGACTTCAGCTTGCACCCAAGTAACTCAATCTCTTAAAATATATCAAGAACATACTTTCGCTAAGAGAGATTGAATTTGTCATCTTGATAGATGAACTCAATCCCAAAGAAGTATCGTGGACTGCTCATATCTCGTATACTAAAGCACTACTATTTATATGATTTGATAGTTTGAATGTTTATTTCATCACATCATATCATAAGAATGTCGTCTCATAAATAACAAGGATTATAATATTGGCTTCAATAGTCTTTATAAGTAATGTGGGATCCACAAGACATGGTGAGAATCAGAATTATGCTAAAAGAGTAGTAAACTTAGTAAACCAAGCACGTAGACTTTATTTAAGTACGTAAATGACGAGTTATAAAAGACATCTTTGATAACTCTTCTTGAACAACATATTTAGGATGTTGCTCCATAAATATATGTTCCTCAATATCACTATAAAGAAAGGTATTAGAAACATCAAACTGATGTAAAATAATATATGATTCACCACTAGAAAAAGTGTCACTTAAATGAAATTGAGTCAAACCACTAGAGAAAACATCTCGATGTAGTTAATATCATAGGTATGCATGAATCTATGAGCAACTAAGCGAGCCTTGTGACTTACAACAGATCTATCTAGGTTATCCTTAATTATAAAAACCCACTTACACATGACGAGGTTGGTATCGTGCGAATGAGATATAAGTGTCTAAATTTCCTAAGACACCAAGGCATCCACCTCTAAGTTCATAATTGTCTTCTATTTAAGTGGAGCCTCAGCATAGGATTATGAAATCGACTCGAAGATCATAGAAAGAGCAAAGGTACAAAAAAAGGATAAAACGATCATAGTAAACAGAGTGAAAATGGAGTGTTTGGTGCATGCATGTATACCTTTGCAGAAACAATAGAAAGATGAAAGTCATCCACTTGAGTGTCATAAGAGACAACCGAAGAAGGGTCATTGGCAAAAGATGAAGATAAATCTAATCTCAAAACAGAGCAGTTGGATGGCAACGAAGTTGAAGGTGTCAAAGGAGGAGTTGACAAGGAAAAAGTTAGACAAACAAGAAGACTAAAAGAGGGATCTATAATAATCACTATAGGAGAAAAACCAAGTAGTGAAGATGCAATGGATCAAAGAGGAGTCAATGCTATAGAAAAGAAAGAAAACTCTTCATAAAAAATAATGTCAATTGATATCACATAGTGATGAGTATCATAAAAATAGACCCAATAACTCTTTTGTGTTTATAAGTAAGCAACAAAGATTCCTTTGAGTCACAAGGGACTAATTTTGAAAGAAAAGAAAAATAATCTTAGATGAAAGTAGTGTATCCAAAGGCACGATGAGGTAAGAAAAAAAAAGAACCAAATGAAAGATAATAAAGTGAAATAACTCTACCAAGTAGAGTAAAAAGAAGTCGATTCTAGAGGTATGTGACTATTAGGAGAGCATCAAATCACAAATAATGAGAAACATTCATCCCACTTAGTAGTGTGAGAGCAATGTCAAGTAATTGGCGATGTTTTAATTTAGAAACACTATTTTGTTAAGATGTGTGTGGACACATGGTCTAATGAAGAATACCATGATTAACACAACATGTGTGAAGTGAGTCTTGAACTATAGCTCTAAAGTATTCTTTATTTAAAAATCTTAGGCATAGTAAGTGATAACTCTAGTAATGAAATAA